GCTATTTTGCTGTGTATTCACCTTTATACAGCAATATTGTAAAGCAATGCAATGAAATCTAATAATGGAGCTAGAAAACATTTATAAGACGTCTAATAAAGCATTTTATTAAAGCAATTGAAAACAGTCGAATTAAAGCGACAATGTATGTGAAAATTACACTTTTTCAGTTTGTTATTAGATCAAATTTCTGGTTCTGACAGTCAACGTTTATAAAGCTTTTAATAAGTAAATTAATCATATCAGAGCAAACGGCGGAATAAAGGCGCATCTATCGATCTCAATGAGCTTTTTTCAGTACATAATTCGACAACTTGTTTTATTCAGCATTGTACACTGTTATACAGCATTTATTCAATGTGTATGCTTATTTGTGACTGTGAATTGTTTGTTGGGTAGTTAATGGAATTAATTAAATTACTAAAAATTAGGAATTAGCTGAAAAACATCATTTTACTCGCTAAAAGACTGAAAGCCGATACAATTTATTTACAAATAGTCCACCAGTCGATAGCATAACGATAATTTACTGACTTATTCATCAAAATAATGAAAAATCAGCAGATAATAACGTAAACAAATAAATTACTTATATAGATAGCAACTATTTACTGACTTAAACGGTAATTTTTGACAGTTCAGAGAATATCAGAGTAAAATTTTACCGATTTCGGTAATCTGAACTCTGTGTGAATATTGTGTTAGAGTGCTCAGCAATGTTTACAATATTTTTGCTTCTAACACCAGCAAGCTGCCTGTTGGCCCGGACCTTATATAAACGTCACTGGCTTATATGCCGACGTAGTTGTCTATCCTAAAACACTCTAGTAAAAGTTTGGACGAATGTCACCACAAAACTGAAAAAGTTGTTCCAATCGAGCAAAGCAGTGCATTTTGAAAGGCGTCCATACTTTACTTAGAGGACTTTAGCACCCGGTGGAAACTTACGATTTTAAATTGGCTCACTACTTGACTACCCTAATAAACGGGTACGATACCATAGAGGTAACTCTAAGACCAGAAGATCCCGAAGAAACGAGCTCAACTTTTTGGTTCAGCTCTGGTACTATCTTCGGTCCCAAGCTAATCGATGCACCTCTCGAAACATAGGAAAATCCATTTATCTGTCAAACTTTCATAGCGAATCAAAACAAACTGTAGTACTAGAATTTCGACTAGAATGGGGTACGTTAAACGTTTGCTTGGGACCAATAGGCTAGTCAAGTAGTGAGCAAATTTAAAATCGTTCGTTTCCACTGGTTACTACACACATGCCACACAATACGCAGCGTTACCTACAACATATTTTACAAGACTGACTCAACCGCCGGTTGTAGATAAAAAAATCTCGATGCTCATCTTGCTCCGGGATGTGATCTTGCTCCTTCTACCCCTAATTCTTTGACCACAATTATTTTCAAAACAACGATACGGGGCTCAGTAACGACACCTTGCGAGCTATCCGCGGAACATAAGCTTGCTAGCTAAGTCAATGTTGCAAACAAGCAAATTATATTGTATAGAAACATAGGTAGTTCACGAATCAAGTAATATTTAAATAAAACTTTAATACGCCTTTTTAATGCACCACCAACGTAGAGTGCGCCACGCGAGTTCGAGAAGAAACGTCAACCAAACCGTTTGTTTACATCAGAATAAGTATTTTCCCCAACGCAAATAACAGCATTTTTCATTCAAAATCTTGCCAATTTCCATCATCGGTAATTGTCTTATTGTACGATTTTCCACAAATCTGAACTGATTTGAACCTAAACTATTCACACACAAGAAATCCGGAAGATCATAACCACTAAGGCACTTTTCTAATTTTCCATTTCTCTCAACAAAAATATTCCTGAACTCCAGCAGGATCTTTTCAAAAACGTTACAGAATTAAATTTTTCAACTGTAGATTAAGTTTTGCAGCATCTCAGATGAATCAATTTATCAGGAAAAGTAAAAAAAAGTGTTCCGCTTCCTATGTCTCAAGGCAAAAATTTATGCTCACAACACTCTTTTTGACGTTCTCCTATTCACCACCAGAGGCTGAATCGATCGTTTAGTTTCTATTAAAAAGGCCTATTGCATCATCATGGACGCTATTTAAAAACTACCCAAATTTGGGTAAAATCCGCCCTTTTTTGGGTAAGTTCAGTTTAAACCGATCTGGGTGGATTCTACCCAAATTATGGTACTTCTGAAATAGCGCGTACGGTACTATAGTCCTCTCCAGCCGGGTTCGTATTGGTGCGATTTGCGTGTGTTAGTGAAATGAAATTTTTTGTTAGCTGTGAGAATTTTTTGTTTGCTGTAAGAACTGTCATTCTAAAGTAAAAATAAACAACAAAACGAAAACAAACCCTACGTTTGCACGGTAATAGTCAAGCACCCTTTTGTGAGTAAATGTTAACCCAGTTTTGATAAAGGTGGTTTTACTCGAGGGCGACACATCTAAATCTCAATTCTAGATGCTCAACATATCTTACACTAGCGAATCAATCTTCGAAAAATTTTCTTTCATTTCTCGCATCTACTTGCATCGCGCATCATCTTTTTGCAAGAAATCTTCAGAATCGTCATCAATTTTCTTTCTATCTCCTCAGCGTGTGCACAGCTAACCACAGCAAAATAAAATTTTTCCTACATCGTAGATAGAGTCACCCCCCTCGGTTTTACTCATTAATGAGTAAATTATTTTAACAACAATGAGTTTCTGCTAACAGTAGCTAACAGTTACTACTTAGTTGGCATAATGAATTACTCAGTGGTGCCGCTTTTATTGACAATGGGTTCACTTTTACTCATAAATGGATGTTTGATTCTTACCGTGCACATGCCAGTATACGCTACACAGCAAAAAAAAATGTAATATCGATCAACGTAATTCAAGCTGATGTATGAAATAATTATGTAATAGCAAAAAGCAGATACAATATTACATCAATGGATGTAATTTTGTTCGCAAAATCGATGTACATCGTACAACCATAGAGGTAACCACAAACGAAGTGACAGACGGAGCGGCTCGAAAACTTTGGTGACTAACCTGCTATTGCAATTTTTCAGTGTACCACATGGCAACACCACTACTACTGGATTGTACCACATGGCAACACTACTACTAGATTGAACTAGCATTTTAACCGAATGTACTAGAATGTTTTGGTTCTATCTCTTTCACTCTACTCAAAACTGAAATGCATAAAAAAATGACAAAATGATACGCACTCTTTGCACACTGTCAAAGAATCATTGTACACAAAATCAACTTTGTTCAAATCAAAACAAAAAAACTAACCCATCTGGTGGATGATGGCACAAGCTTCCAAGAAAATTCTATTACAGTGAACCACATTATTTTTATGGATTTCTTCGCCAGTAAGTCGTCTGTCACTTCGTTTGTGGAGGTAACTCTAAGACCACTGGGTCCCGAAGAAAATCATTATTATTTTTGGCTCACTCAGTACCAGAACAACGGTCCCAAGCAGTCCCAAGCTATTTCACTCACCCCTGCATGTTCTGCATGAATCCACACACCCCTGATGTTATCTGTCAAACTTTCATAGCGAATCAAAACAAACATAGTGTAGTAATAGAATTTCAACTAGAATAGGGTACGTTAATCGTTTGCTTGGGACCAATAGGCTACTAAAGTGGTGAGCCAATTTAAAATCGTTAGTTTCGTATTGATTGTTGGTACAACGTAATATTACACAACCGGCGGAATGATCTCTGTGCAGCTGTTTGCATGTAATATTCAACAATTTTTTTTTTCTGTATACAAAGCAAAAAATGTAATGTCGATCAATGTAATTCAAGCTGATGTATGAAATAATTATGTAATAGCAAAAAGCAGACAATATTACATCAATGGATGTAATTTTGTTCGCAAAATCGATTTACATGGTACAACCATAGAGGTAACTCTAAGACCACTGGGTCCCGAAGAAAATCATTATTATTTTTGGCTCACTCAGTACCTCGCTCAGTACCAGAACAACGGTCCCAAGCAGTCCCAAGCTATTTCACTCACCCCTGCATGTTCTGCATGAATCCACACACCCCTGATGTTATCTGTCAAACTTTCATAGCGAACCAAAACAAACATAGTGTAGTAATAGAATTTCAACTAGAATAGGGTACGTTAATCGTTTGCTTGGGACCAATAGGCTACTAAAGTGGTGAGCCAATTTAAAATCGTTAGTTTCGTATTGATTGTTGGTACAACGTTATATTATACAACCGATGGATTCACCTGGTTGCAGCAGTTTGGATGTTATATTCAACAACTTTTTTTCTGTGTAGTGTGCGTAAAATTATATTATTAGTGTAGTGTTCGTGAGATCCTGCTTGGAGAACTCAATAGAAACGTAAAAGTGATATGATGACAGCGCTGTGGCGGGTGATTGACGAAACTAATAATATTTAAATTGAACGTTAAATGTGTGTACGACGAATGAGGAGAAAGAGTTGCGTCTGTTTGTCTGTGAATACATAGCGGAAATGGCTCTAATGGATCTAAGATTGGGTCCATCGCTAAAAATCTGATATTTATCAATTTTATCTAGATGAACGGGACGGTACTAATGAATATTTTTGGTCGCTATTGAAAATTTAGTCGATTGCGAAATTTATGTGTGGGTCCAAATTAGGGGCATTTAGGCCGACATTACATCAAATTCCCCTAATGTTTCGGTTAGTGACAACGACATCAGTTTTCCATATACCCCATAGTGTGAGTCAAAGTAAAAACGCTAACTATTATTGCATATGCCACTCAGCAGACAGAATCTGATCCACAGCATATATGTATACTAAAACAGAATGCTTGTAGGAGATGCTGGAAGCTGACTTTCTACGTGCTTCCTTATCGTCGGCATTTGTGATCGCCGCAGCCAATGTGCGTATTGAGTCTACAGTGGAACGATGAAATGAGTGGAAATATCTCGTAAAAATAACATGCACACAAATGAGTGGCATACATATTAAGAAAAAAAAAAAACCAAGTGCGAAGGAGGCATGAATAATGTACCACATACGTTGGTTAGTTTACAATTCTGCCTGATGCTCACCAAATGTGTGTATACATTTTCTCTACTTCTGGTTAGTTCTAATCTGCACGCCGGACGGTTCGTAACTTGAAATGTGTAAGACATCAAAACCAGAGAAAAGTGTAGATCGCGAACGACGGTTGATTTGCTGACGTGGATTGTGTAACGTGGCAAGATTTTAGCTGGAATATTTAGTGTATTTGCAGTTGACAAAGCCGAATCAGCGTGAAGATCCGGAGCTAGTATACGGTCTAAAGTGAGTGAGTAGGTTAAAACACTGGCAGTATTTCTGGGAAAGGAACGCTTTATAGTAAACGGTTTTAGTCATAAATGATGGAATTTAACTCTTCTATTTAACTATGATGTCACATGGGGAAATTTTATGCTTCTTAAGTTGCATTCCTTGAACCATGATTGAATACTCCCGGTTTTGATTCAGTTTTAAATTCCTTGATTAAAAAAAAACAGTCGAAGGCGAGGGGCACGCAATACAAAGAACCGGTGCGTTGAAGTTAAAATGCAATCAAAAGTACTGACGGTAATTAAAATTATCTATCCATAATTAATGTAATTAAAAGTATTGAAGTACGAAATTTAAACTGTATATAATGGAGTTAAAAAGTAGTTAATGTTCTACATTGTGTAAATAATGTAATTTAAGCAGTAGTTAATGGAATTAATTTAATTACAGCCGTTGCCTGGGTTGGAGTTAAAGGTTATTGCATGCCCCTAGGTCGAAGGTCAGTTTGTCTTGTTTTCGCGATTTTAAATGATGCACATAATCTTTTACAGGAAAGGTGTACCAGTTATGGCTGTATGATCCTATTATGGTGTGTTCCAGTTATGGCCTATTCGAATTCTATATGTCATAATTGGAACACAGCCTTAATTAAAGGTATTGAATAGAATAATACTGGCTAAAACTCCATCCGCAAACAGCGGTACCTCTCTGTAATCAGCTTAAACGGTATAAGACGGAGTTTCACGAAACTTTTGGGCTTAGATAAAAATTGGTCACAAATAAATTTATCAGTACAGAAAATTACGAAGTAAATTATGCACAAATTTGAATTCATAGGGTGTTACAGAACCACACGATTACAATAAGGTGAAAAAAAAAATACAATTTGTGAAAGTTTTATAGAATTTAAGCCAAAATTTCGTTTTGTTTCGTTGTCGTAGGGTTTTCATACCGCAAACCCCTATTCTCAGTACAGGTTGGACTCGAACAAATCAATCATACAAATCGATATTACCAACAGGTGGCGGATTGTCTTCGCTATCCGATGGTGGAGTTACTTTGCGTAATTGAATGGACGTTTGCTAGAAATCAGCGATGGAACTAACAAAAGTTAGTATCGGACAGTCCTATATTTAAAAAAAATATCGATTTTTGACTCGAAAATCGATATAACATGATTTGGTAGATCGATTCGTAACTATAAATGCCGAATCTACATGCACATGAAAATGTCTTTCGAAGTGTTTCATTCTTTTCGAAATGTTTCAAATTTCTTAAAAACATAATATTTTCCTGTTAGTTTTTTTACTACCTACAAAGCTAGGAAATTTTTCTGGAGAGGGCCTAGGCCCTCCTATTAATTTTTGATTAAACTACCGGTTGATAAACTCTCGTGAAAATGCTATTCAATCGTTGCCATATTGTATTGCGTTAAGTCAAGTTAACCTATTTCGATTCATATGTTTATGTTAGTTTCCCCTGCGACCAATTGATCTTTTGTGCTTATGCATACAATTTTTTTGGAATAACAATAATTTTATTATATTAGTTACATTACTTTTAACAACGCTTAGGGTCCAAAAAATATATAAATGGATCTGAAACTGAACTGCCAAAAAGTGCACGTTTCCGTCAAACCGTTTTGATGTCTTCGTTTCGGAGCACTTATTGCTTGTTTTATAAGGAATAAGTGCATCGAAGACACCAAGACGATTAGACGGAAACGCGCACTTTTTTATGAGTGAAAACGCGCTTATTTGTCCAGTTTGGTGTGAAATGCGTAATATTTTCTATAAAACATTCCATGTGGTGTCCGTTCACCGCTCATTTTAGAGCCAAATTTTGTTTACAACGTAAGTATAATAATTTGTATATGTGTATAAGCATATGTTTTATACAAGCGTTCACCGTCATTATCATAGAAATACGGAAAAAAAATTGGATTTAATTTTTTTTATCAATAATTAATTTGAGGCTCATTAGTAAATGTAAACAAGAGTTTATTTATGGCCCTTCGCTCATTCTCAACTTCTAAGAGTTTCATTCACCGCTGATTTCATACACAGCAAAAATTAAATTTTAATATTACATCCAAGAGGATGCACTTCAATCACCGGTTGGAAACCGGTTGGAACGATTTAAAATAGGCTCACTACTTGACTAGCCTATTGGTCCCAAGCAAACGTGTCACGTACCCCATTCTAGTCGAAATTCTAGTACTACAGTTTGTTTTGATTCGCTATGAAAGTTTGACAGATAAAATGAGGGGTTTGTGGATTTTCCTATGTTTCGAGGGGTGCATCGATTAGCATGGGGCCGAAGAGCGTACCAGAGTTGAGCCAAAAAGTTGAGCACGTTTCTTCGGGACCTTCTGGTCTTAGAGTTACCTCTATGCTTCAATCATGTCGAAAATCTCATGTAATTTTTATGGGCACAACAATAAACAAATGCAGTAAAAGCAGCGTAATTTCAGTTCATGATAATGTTGTTCTTTTTGGCAAGTAATATTACACCAAATTTTCGACACGATTGAAGCAACAATCAATACGAAACTAACGATTTTAATTTGGCTCACTGCTTGACTAGCCTATTGGTCACAAGCAAATCGATCAACGTACCCCATTCTTGTATAACTTCCAGTACTACACTATGTTTGTTTTGATTTGCTATGAAAGTTTGACAGATAAAATGAGGAGTTATTGGTTTTTCCTATGTTTCGAGGGGTGAATCAATTAGCTTGGGACCGAAGAGAGTACCAGAGCTGAGCCAAAAAGTTGAGCACGTTATTTCGGGACCTTCTAGTTTTAGAGTTACCTCTATGATTGAAGTGCACCCACTTTGATGTGATTTTAAAATTAATGTTTTGCTGTGTAGAGGAAATGTTTAATTTTTAAAAGTAATTTTTTTGACAATAATCAGTGCAATAATGTGTAGAACGTTTCAACTCATTAGCAGGCATCTAAAATGAGCGCATTTTGAAAAAAAGAGTGGTGAACAGGCACAACAAGGTCAGTAAACGTAAATCTGGTTACATGGCTTAATCCAAGTTTGGCAACCCACAATTTGGTCTTTACATCTAACGACTTTTAATTTGAGCGACTGTCGTTTGCTTCAGTAAAATGAATACATTTTTGACCGTATCAGTAGTGATTATTTGAAATATGCCATTGAAATGCACGGCATCATTATGTAAAAATACACCATAAAACGATACAAAATGTCAGTTTCTTCCGGTTTTCCAAAGACAGCGTCGTCGGAGCAAAGTGGATTCAATTCTGTTGGCTTCCTAGCGATCAAAGTGTGACGGTAAACTCTTGATTATGTAGCGTAAGTAATCTACCATATTGATACACTGCCGCTATTCGCATGTCGGTCCCATAATCGTTTTTCTCGAAACTGAGTTTTTCAATGCAAATTGTAGCTAATCACCTATATTTTCATAATACTGGATGAACTCAACAACTGTGTTCTGAAAAAGTTTGGAAAGACAGTCAAAGAGGCCTTTTTAATAGAAACTAAACGATCGATTCAACCTCTGGTGGTGAATAGGAGAACGTCAAAAAGAGTGTTGTGAGCATAAATTTTTGCCTATAGTCATAGGCAGCGGAACACTTTTTTACTTTTCCTTATAAATTTATTCATCTGAAATGCTGCAAAACTTAATCTACAGTTGAAAAATTTAATTCTGTAACGTTTTGGAAAAGATCCTGCTGGTGTTCAGGAATATTTTTGTTGAGAAAAATGAAAAATTAGAAAAGTGCCTTAGTGGTTATGATCTTCCGGATTTGCTGTGTGTGAATAGTTAAGGTGCAAATCAGTTCAGATTTGTGGAAAATCGTACAATAAGACAATTACCGATTGGCAAATCAAAGTTGGCTCTCGTGGAGAATAGAAGAACTATGAAAGTGATGATGGTTTCAAAATTTTCCACGGGGAAGTATACGAGTGCAACCTTAAAATGCTTTTATTTTGTGAATGGAGCATTTTATTTAAATCTGGTTAATGCTACGTTAGTAGAAAACTTCAGGACTACTCAATAGACATATAATACAGAAAACATAATTTCTTTTCAGATTTTTAGGTGTAAACATAGACTTCCGCTTTTCTACCACTGTAGCAGTAACCAGATTTAAATAAAATGCTCCATTTTCAAAATAAAAGCATTTTAAGATTGCACTCGTATACTTCTCCGTGGAAAATTTTGAAACCATCATCACTTTCATAGTTCTTCTATTCTCCACGAGTGCCAACTTTGATTTGCCAATGGAAATTGGCAAGATTTTGAATGAAAAATGCTGTTATTTGCGTTGGGGAACATACTTATTCTGATGTAAACAAACGGTTTGGTTGACGTTTCTTCTCGAACTCGCGTGGTGCACTCTACGTTGGTGGTGCATTAAAAAGGCGTATTGGTTGTCCCATCACATAAGAAGCAAGGTTGCTAATACTCATTTCAGCTAAAATAATGTTTTTCGGAATAATAAAACCAAAAGATGGTATGATGACATGTTTTACTTGTAACTTACAAGAAGAGGTTACAAAGTATACGTTTGAAACATAAAACCTGTAAATTTTGCCTTCTATGAGTCACAATCAGCGATTTGCTAATCGCAGAGTGAGTAAGTGAGTTAGTGAGTGTGTGAAAAATCGCTGATTGTGACTCTCATGAAGTGAAATAAACAGGTTAAATATGTCAAACACATTATTTGCAACCTCTTCTTGTATCTTACCAATTCAAAATATGATCATAGTATCTAATTATTTCATAATTAAAAAAAAAACATAATACCATAAGAAGCAATGGTACCAACAACCAATACGAAACTAACGATTTTAAATTGGCTCACTACTTGACTAGCCTATTGGTCTCAAGCAAACGCACCCAATTCTAGTCGAAATTCTAGTACTACGCAAAATACATCCATATACCATATAGGTCCACCGTTGTATAATTGGCAATGCACCCGTGTACTGAATGGGAATTGTGTGTTCGAATCCCACCGGTGCCCTTAGATTTTTACGCAAATTTTCTTACACACACGTCTCTTACCGATGATATGTGCTAACCTCTCAGTATGTTCAAACTATCTTATAAACAATTAAATTGAATGCAAAGTCGCTAAACCGTAAATATAATGATTAATTATATTTGCTAAATTTCAATTCCGGTTTAGATTTACGCGTGGCATTGAATACCTGAAAACAATTAACTTCGGATGCAGTTCCTGTTATTGAAGTCGTTGAGGATTTGAACGAGAGAACAGAGAATTAAATTTAATGTAAAACATTATGAAAGGCCTGACATAATTGATGATGTATACATTTATACACAAACTTAATTATAATTATCAAAAACTCAAAAATTTAATTTCAACCGCCATCTTGATACTCCCACACTTTTTCTTATGAAGCACTCGTGTTTATTTACATTGCTCGATTGGAACCGTGTCCGACGGTTTTATTGGAACTTTTGGTTTCAGTCTGAGAGCGTCTGTTAAGGGCCATCCACATTAGATCCGGAACTGACGAGCTGCGGCACAGTGACAGCTAAATCTACTCTCGAACTGTAAAATTTACGTCAACGCAACGCAAACGGATCTAATGTGGGTGGCCCTTTATAAAACATCGTTTCTGCACAAGGTAAGAGGAATTAAAAAAATACCTACTGGCTTTTTAAAGTATTTTTTTCTCGGTCCTATGAATGATTGTCTTTTTTTACCAAAGCAGCTACTTCTAAATGAGATTTAATCAGATCAAGTAATATTTTCAAAAGGAGAAATGCACGAATGGCAAATTTATGTAGAAAATGTTTTTGTTGTTGTTATAGTCACTTTAACGCTCTTAGGTCATTCGTGACTTGTACGAGGATGAGATTTGAAATCGTGACTTTGGCGTGAGAGGTATTCATGCTAACCACTACACCGGGGTCGCCCCCTAGAAAATGTTTGAAATATGAGGGATGCTCATTAAAAAGATACAGAATTTGTAATGTTTACTCCACAGTAGAGGTGATAAATGTACATTTTTACCGCAGAGAAGTAACCACTAAAATGTATGGGGAAAAACATGCATGTACATATATTTTTCCACAGTGCTCAAACGATTCCTGTCCTGATCCTCCCAAAATTCAAACTCATCTGTAAAACTTTTTTTTTCTAACTTGATCATTGACATAGCTGTTTTAAAAATTGCAGTTTATAGCATATAAGATCGTTTACATCTAAATCATCCCTAGATTTTTAGTGCCCTTTATAAAACTGCTATTTCATAAAGAATAATGGATCAAAATTCCAAATCTTTCCGATTACACACAACAGCTTGATTTGAATTTTCGCTATTTAACAATATGTATGATCAATTTATAAGATAATTTTCATTGCATGGTCAACAGTTTCGCAATCTCTGCTGTTTCGAAAATATTGAATTCCCAAATGATGTTATAAATTGGCCATACATTTCTTAGATGCTGTAAAAACTATTTCAGTTGATGAAAAAATCTATCGTTGTGAAATGAGTTTAGTTAACAAGTCTTCTATCACTCAAAAAATAGGGGTATTCACAAAGCGCATCGTAAACATATACATCCTTGTTAATGCCTAAACTTCCTTTAAACTCCAATGCACCCTGGTATTTTAACGATGCGCATTTTAAATACCCCCTTTATATCAAACGCGATATATGCACACATTTACGATCACATCTTGTGTTTCCCCCTGTAGCAATTTTCCGAAACCATGTTCCTGCTACTTCTAGTATCTTCCATTTGCCTTCTATTCAACTGCGCCGTTTCGGCGATTCCCAAGCCGGAAGAGAAACGCGTGCTGGATCATGAAGTCATCAATCGTGTGCAACACTTTCAGAACGATGAGCACAACAAACAGTATGACCACGAAGCATTCCTTGGGGAGGATGCGAAAACATTCGATCAGCTAGAACCAGAGGAGAGTAGACGAAGATTAGGGTAAGATTTGCTTTGCCTATTACTTAGGGTATGCAATCAGATGGCGCGTACGACGGATGTAGCCGATGCAGTTTAGATTAGCACTCGTAGCAGCAGCACTTAATTAATGTGTTCTCTTTTTGTGTTGCAGAATTATCGTGGATAAGATTGACACAGACAAAGATAATTTCGTTAATTTAGCAGAGCTTAAAGCATGGATTCAATACACTCAAAGGCGCTACATCGATGATGATGTAAATCGTCAGTGGAAGCAGCACAACACGAATGGCAGCGATCAGATTCAGTGGGAGACCTATCGAAAAAATGTGTATGGGTTCCTCGACGAAATGGATCCCAAGGATCTTGAACAGGGTGATGAACATTTTTCGTACAAATCCATGCTGACTCGAGATCGTCGACGGTGGAGCGTAGCTGATAAGGATGGTGATGATTCGTTAACTAGAGAGGAGTTTACTGACTTCCTACACCCCGAAGAAAGTCCTTATATGAGAGACATTGTCGTGCAAGAAACTATTGAAGACATTGATAAGGATCATGACGGTAAGGTGTCTGTTGAGGAATACATTGGAGATATGTACCGCGGATCGGAGGACAACGAAGACGAGCCGGAGTGGGTGAAACACGAACGTGAGACGTTTAATAACTTCCGGTAGGTGTTGTTTCAATTATGTGAGATTAACATTAAGAACAGGAAAATTAATCCTTTTTAATTGTAGTGACAAAGATAAGGATGGTTTAATGAATCACCAGGAGGTCAAAGACTGGATTATTCCAGCCGATTTTGATCACGCAGAAGCAGAGGCACGCCATTTGATCTACGAAGCTGATTCCGACGCTGATGAGAAATTAACCAAAGAAGAAATTATCGAAAAGTATGACCTATTTGTGGGGTCACAGGCAACTGATTTTGGAGAGGCTTTGACGCGCCATGACGAATTTTAAGCAATTTACAGGATTCTTCTTGAGTTGAAGATCACAATTACGTGAAGTTCAGGCGATAAAACACTTAAAATGTGCGATATTTTGAGCATAATTTTAACGAATGAATACTCGGACTTCCGATCCCGGAGGTATACAAAATAAGAGTTTAAAAGTGAAACTATTCATTATTAAGTTTATGTGAGTCTGTGCAACGTTTATTCTTTGTTTGAAAAAAATTAATAAATACGTAGTCTAATTTGTTTCAATCTCATGATGCTTAGGCTTATCGTTTTAGTTCAGTATTGCATGTAATAAATGGCTAAAAGTTTTATAAACTTGTTTTTCATTGACCATCTTCAACTTATGTGAACACTACTTCTCGATAACTTTTTCGAATGGACGTAGGGGGAGGATAGGCATAGTGAACAGGTGGGGCATAGTGAGCATCCCGCAGTTTGGCCCTGGATCTCTAGCTGCATGAAACAAATCAACTGGTAGTAGGTTCAATATCATTATGATATTGATCCTACCACCAACCAATTTGTTCCGAACGGCCGGAAGTCCAAGCTGGTGCACAGGATGCTCACTATGCCCCACCTGGGCTTTATAACATTCCCCAGAAAACCATTCCCCAGAAAAACATTCCCCAGAAAAGCATTCCCCAGAATGTACCATTGTATGTATGTATGTATGTAAGGTAGCCACCATCCCTTCAAAGATCTTGTCTTGTATGCAGCTCCACTTAATAGCAAGATCAATTTGAGCTACCGATCTGAATTCACAATATCGCTGTTTAAAGGCCAAAAACAGGGGGGTGGACCCGTTAGCAGAGACACTTACGCGAAATCCACGGGAATTTGAGAATCTCCTTCCAACGATACGATCCAACAAATCGAATAACGCAATTCGCAATACTTATTAAGCTTCCTACAGGATGGTTTGTTAAGAAGGGTGCGTCAATCTCACTGAAACTGTTGGAGTAGAATTTACACCACCACAATCGAATCGGTAGGATAAAGAAAATGATAGTGTTTATTCCCTCCTAGACTCCGGTTGTCATACCACTCCATCGTCCAGTTTCAGGTCAAATGATACCCTGATGCTCCCACCCATCCCAGTATTTATTTATATAATGTAAATATATGTAATGGTGAAATGAAGTATATCGGAACATTAAAATATGAAATGTAGGGAATACAATTAAATGGATGCAATAAAAATTATAAATTTTGTACACATAATAAGATGCACCTCTATGTCTCCTCTGCTTACAATGGTAGGTGGATGTAACACTGAAATGTCAAGGTTATAGTAATAATAGCAAGTAAATATGTTTAGCTCGAAGGATACTTAATATTCCCTTTTTAGAGTAATTGAAAAAAAGTGATGAATAACTAACAGGACTAACAATAAAATTGAAATTGAATCTCATCTAAATGATGTCATGCATGACGAGAAACAAAACCTGAAAAATAATTATTTATGTATATAAGTTATCCACTATCCCTTCCGATCTAAATTCACAAGAATAATAAAATAATTATCAAGCTAAAATTAAACGATCCATAAAATATTATGAGAAGTGCGTAACATAATAAGAAATACAATGAGATATGCATTCCCCAGAATGTACCATTCTCTAGAAAACATGATGAAATTAGTAATTTATCACTTTTTTTTGGTCATTTGATATTATACTTCAGTTTGATATTACAGAACAGGCGTCCATAAATAAACAGGTTCGCAAGTATCTTGCATACTGAATATGAGATACATCTTCTGAATACCAATTTTCTCGATAAATTTTACATATTTGATTTAATAATGATGAATTTGATAATGATAATGATAATGATAATGATAAATTTTCATGATAAAACTCTCTGATTAGTTTCACTTTACTATTGATGATACACTACGTTTACTTTTATGGAACTATGTATTTATCAATTCCAAACCATTTTTATGCATAGAACGTTGAACTACCGATTACAAATTTATAACATTATTATCCCGAATGGGCATTACCCCGAATCCCTTGCGAAAAACTTTTGATTATATATTTTCCTTATATATTAAAAGAAGGGAGTATTCCCTTCTTTGTCGAATATCCAAAGAATTAATTATTTCCTTTTGTTATATTTTCAAAGAAGGGAAAACCCCTTGATCCATTAAGAAGTTTTTCTCTTCTTTTTATATACGCGAAAGAAGATTCCAGGAGTGACTATAATAAACAAAAATAGTCAATCTAATACATGTCATACTTTTCTGGGGAATGGTACATTCTGGGGAATGGTTTTCTGGGGAATGGTTCATTCTAGGCAATGCTTTTCTGGGGAATGGTGCATTCTGGGGGCTGAGATTCTGGGGAATGGTTTTCTGGGGAATGGTTTTCGGGGGAATGGTTTTCTGGGGAATGTTATAGAATCCCCACCTGTTCACTATGCTCCTCTTACCCCTATCTGGTTTTGTAAACAATTGAACGTCGATTTGGCGTAACTGGTAGTTCGTCCAGGCATACGAACACCATTATCAGGTAGGGGGAAATTTCCCCATCTGATGGTAGTTTTAGCATTCGTAGGCGAGCTACCAGTTACGTCGATCAAATGCATTGTTTACAAAAGCAGATAAGCCCCTTCGAAAATTGAATAGAGACTTTATTTTTTAATTACAAGTAAAAGTTTAAGTGGTGAAACGAGGTAAAGGCAAAGTTTTTTTTTTTTATTTATTTAAAGTCGGTCTCTGTTTCGCAATCTAGTGCCAATCCGGATGTCATACGATAGATGGCAGAATTGGGTCTCTGTGGGCACATTCTCCACTTCGTAAAGAATCTTACCGTTAAAGCATTCCGTAGGAAGATGGGCGTGGCAACCAGGGCAGTGTCATTGTGGGCATCGTCTGATGGATTCCGTCTTTCAGGCGGTAAGATCTCTATTATTCACATATGTTCACACCATCAACGTCCTCTCAGCACCCCTATCTACATAGATGGGTCCGTTGTCCCGTTTAAAAAGACAGTCCGCGTGCTAGGGGTTCGTCTTCACCAGCACCTGACTTTTTCTGCACATTTCGACGATGTCAAAAGTGGTTGCAAAACTAGACTAAATCTTCTACGTTCTATCGCTGGACGTCACCATGACAATAACCGGTCCTCCCGACTCCGAGTTGCCAAGGCAATTCTCGAATCATGTCTTTTCTACGGCATCGAAATCATCTGTCTTGCCAGCAATCTTCTTATCTCAAAATTGCCCCCAAGTGCTGAGAAGCTGTCCGGATTTGCTACGGTCTTCTCCCGTCCACGTCTGACGTGGCCACCTGCATCGAAATCGGAATGTTACCGTTCCAACGACTGAACGCCGGCGCACAATAGATACGTTTTCGGGTTTTTTGACAGTTAGCCCATACATTATCTGTCAAAAAACCCGAAAACGTATCTATTGTGCGCCGGCCTTGACTACACAGACGTAAACGGCCAATAAGTTTCGCTGAGAAGACAGATGGCTCTGACGAAGAAGTTTTCCTCCTCAACGAGGCGAACCTACTTCTTTTTAAAACTGCTAATCTAGTGCTCCCCCCGGTGTCCAGGGTCCACAGGTGCGGAGCCAGGGGATGTCAAACCTGCCGTAATTGACTTGACAATTAAGAAGCAGTTTAAAGCAGGATACAACAAACTTACGATGGAAACTTACGATGGAAACTTACGATTTTAAATTGGCTCACTACTTGACTAGCCTATTGTCCCAAGCAAATCGATTAACGTATCCCTTCTAGCCGAAATTCTAGTACTACAAAATGTTTGTTTTGATTCGCTATGAAAGTTTGACAGATAAAATTGTTGTTTATTGTTTATTGTTGTTTATTGAAAAATTCAACTGACAATTATTGTCTAAATGAATAAAACTTAAACTAAATAGTTACGGTCAACGGTACGGAAAAGGCCAAGTAGCCGGTGGCAAGTTCGTTGGGTCACGCCAGTTGAGGAAACGAAGAGCATATCTCACAAACTTGCGTTGAACGGATTCAATTCTAGTGATCCAGCTAGCATGGAAAGGGCACCAAACAACTGAACTTGACTCTAATAAGGATCGCACAAGCGAGCAGTAAAGTGAACTAAGGCATAGCGGGTCATGAAACTCGTCGGCAATTTTGAAAATAAAGCCCAATTCAGTGCCAACATTTCAAAGGGGCGTAATTGCATTTGTAAACAATGGCTTTAGCCGTCGATTTCTCGCGAATAAAAGCTCACTCATGAAAAATAATGACACCAGCAGGTAGAGGAATGTTTCCTCTAGCAACTAGCATTGTAATTCGCGAGAAATTGACGGCTAAAGTCATTGTTTACAAAAGCAATTACGCCCCTTTGAAATGTTGGCACTGAATTGTCGATTAGCTCTGGGATTCCTTTTCTTTCCTTTATTTAACGTCGGTCTCTGTTCCGCAATCTACTGCCAATCACCGACGGACATCGATTTCCATCCATTGACGGCAATCGAATGTGCAGGAAGGCAGCTTCCACACCTGCGTAGGATATCGCACCCATTCAACACACATGGGCCGGGACCAACGGCTTTACTTCCCTTCCGAAGGAAGACGTGACCAGAGATTTTTATACCTCAGAAAAATCCCACCGACCTCGGCTGGGCTTGAACCCATACCCATCGGGGTGTTAGAAAGCAGTCACGCTTACCACTACACCACCAGCGCCGGCTAGCTCTGGAGATGATGTCATAGTATTGGATTCTGAAAGCACAAACGAAGTGACAGACGCTCCGAAAACTTTGGTGACTAACCTGCTATTGCAATTTTTCAGTGTACCACATGGCAACACCACTACCACTGGATTGTACCACATGGCAACACTACTACTGGATTGCACTAGCATTTTCACCAAATGTACTAGAATGTTTTGGTTCTATCTCTTTCACTCTACTCAAAACTGGAATGCATAAAAAAATGACAAAATGATATACACTCTTTGCACATTGTCAAAGAATCATTGTACACAAAATCAACTTAGTGCAAAACCAAAACAAAAATACTATCCCATCTGGTGGATGATGGCACAAGCTTCTAAGAAAATTCTATTAAGTGAACCGCATTATTTTAATTGATTTCTTCGCCAGTAAGTCGTCTGTCACTTAGTTTGTGCTGAAAGTGAGTCTGCCGTCCAAGGTAACGCCGAGATCCTTTATGTGCTCTACACGAGCAAGACAGCGTCCGTAGAGAACAAAGTCAAACATGATTGGTTCGATTTTTCGGTGAAAGGAAATAATGTTACATTTTTCTATGCTTAGATTCATCCAATTTCTTGAGCACCAGTCAGCAAAAATACCTAACGTATTCTGGAGATCCCAGCAGTTCGAGAGGCTTTTAATAATTTTGTAGATTTTTGTATCGTCTGCATAGAAAACGCGGCATCCTGATGGTATCAGCAAGGCGACGTCGTTTAAAAAGATCGAAAATAGTAGCGGTCCTAGGTTACTGCCTTGCGGAACTCCCGAGTTGTTTGAGAAAACATCCGATTCCGACGCGCCAATCTTGACATGTACATAGCGATTCACCAAGTAAGATCTGAACCAATCCACAGCAGTTGATGAGATGCCAAGTATCTCCAGCTTGGCCAGCAAGATATTATGGTCCACCGTGTCAAATGCAGCTTTTAGATCCATATACGCAGCATCGATTTGCCATCCTGAATCCATGCATAGCAGACAGTTAGAAGTGAATTGCACCAGGTTCGTGAACACGGAGCGCTTCGGGTAGAAACCGTGTTGTTCTGTATCGATATAATTTTTGCAGCGTGCGATCAGAGCACCATTTATGATAATCTCGAACAGTTTTGAACAGGCACACGGGAGGTGATTCCACGATAATTTATGACATTCCGTTTATCTCCTTTTTTGTACACTGGGAACAGATAAGAAAGTTTCCAGTGGCAGGGGAACTCACATTACTGTGTCGAGAGATTGAATAGCCTCGCAAGTGGAAGGCCGAGATTGGCTATGCCGTTGCGACTATCACCATGTCTTCTGAAATGCGCGGAATAACGAAACTAAACACATCACGTGGCATCCCAACAGTAGCATCCAGCACTTGTGTTGGCGAAGCGGAGAAATCGTGGAACACTTGCTTGAAATGACGAGCAAACAAGTCGCATTTTTCTCTTTCGCTATTAGTCGAGTTATTCTCGAGAAACATGGAACAAGGCAACCTGGATTCCTTCCGTTTGAAGTTGACAAACGACCAAAAACTTTTCGGATTCGTGCGAAGGTTCGCTTCCGTGTGTCTCACGTGTCGATTATAGAGAAAACGATTGTAATTTCGATAACTACGACTCGCAAAATTGAACAGTCGTTTGTAGTACAGAGAGCGAGAGTTACAATACTTTCGGAGGGCGGCAGAGCGTTGACGTTTTAGCACGCGCAGGTGTGGGTTAGACCATGCAGGAGGACGTCGAGCTGGGACAATGCGGAAAATAGCATCTTCCAGTGCAGCACTGAAAAAATCCAAATCACGCTAGCGGCTGTTTCGATAAATTGCAAATCAATTTCCGCAAGCGCATTGTTCAATGCAACATAATCGGCCCGCCGAAAGTCCAAAGAGTAGCAATCAGATGACAGCGTAAAAAGAATCGGCGTAAGTAAACTAAATGACACGACGAGAGCGGGATGATCGGCATCTAGATCAATCAGTGGCTCGACCGGCAAGGAAACAGAAGTGCCCGGTAGTGCTGAATCATTTTCCAGGACAAGATCTAGCAAACGTCCATTTCGGTTCGGAAAAGTATTCACTTGTGTGAACCCGTAAAAGTTAAAATCGTCCAAAAGAGTACAGCAAGCAACCGGCATATGCGAAAGCAGTGGATCAATTAATGGTGTGCCACTGTCTGTAAAGCGCCACTGCAGACCAGCTTGATTGTAGTCACCAAATACGAAAGTGGGAGAGCAGGGACTTAATTGTGACGACATTGAGCCTAACGATTCCACATGCTCGCGGATGATCGTGCAGTCGTTTTTGCGGTCGGGAGGCAGGTAGATTGCGCCTACACTAAGCTTGCTTTGTGGAAGTTCTATGACAATCCACAGCTGTTCCAGTTGACTGGAAATGGGTGACGTACTTACGTAGCTGGCTAGTCTCGTAGATACTGCGATCAGGACTCCGCCACCGCGCGATTTTTGACTGTTTAGGGCAGACCGGTCAGTTCTGAAGACGGAATAGAGTGACCCGAAAAGTTGCGATGAGCAAATTCGGTCACGTTTCCGTCAGCACAATCAAATGAGGGGTTCGTGGATTTTCCTATGTTTCGAGGGGTGCATCGATTAGCTTGGGACCGAAGATAGTACCAGAGCTGAGCCAAAAAGTTGAGCACGTTTCTTCGGGACCTTCTGGTCTTAGAGTTACCTCTATTATACAACTCCCCCGTGCTAGTGAAATCGGTAACAGAGCTTCAACGAACCGTATACAACGGCCATACAATCCGATATTCCGACGGCTCCGCAGCTTACGGGGGTGTCGGTATAGGAATTACGGATCAGTACTCCAAATTTTCGGTGGAGGCTGCCGCTGCATTCATCGCTGCCACCAATCGCGGTTTTCACGGACTCTCGATCGAAGCCATCGGATCAGATGTTTCCAAGCATCCCTGGATCCGGCTGATTGGCTTCGCTCTGATGGAAGACCAATGCAGAACCTTGACAAAATGGTTAATTAGTAAAATCGATCGACAAATAAAAAAGTGGCCTGGGGTCAAATTGCCCCCAAGGTACAAACAAAGGGTTAAATGTGCAGACGCAAAGCTTAAGAGTGGCGTTAATTTCTTATCGCTCAAGTTTTCGAAAAGTGGAAGGGGTCTGATTTAGCTCAACTCAGTCCTACCTCCTGCCGTGGAGGAGGACATTAGGTTGCTTGAAGCGATTGCCTTAGGATCGAGTTCAGTAGAGTACAATTATCCATTTGGCGAAGATTCAACGATCTGTAGTCCAAACAATAAATTTGGAAGGTTAGGTTAATCAATTCGATTTCAAGCAGCGTTTTAAACAATGTTCTGTAAATAAACAAGTCGCTCAGTATTTAAACGATGAACTTTTCATAAGTTCTGATTTCTAAACCATCAGTTTGTCGATATCATGTTTCATGGTTTTTTACGTCGATATTTTCGATTAAAAGTGATGTAGGGTTACGGTATGTAATGTGGGTCTAGTCCTTTCATTCGGCCTATCACGCAAATAAATAATTAATTAAGGAATATTACACAAAAAATAAGGAAAATATTGATCACTGATGGTTGATAAATGTGTACCACACACAAATCAATTTATATCACAACATTTCAATACATTTTCAGCTCTCGTAAGTAATAAAACTGGTTGAGAATATCACAATGTTCGGAGTTTTTAGCCGCCATGACTTATAAGGTTAAGATGGGAAGGTTGACTGACGATCATCAAATGGCCTGATTATGGCATTTATTGATTGGAATTACCTGATAATACACACTAGACGTAAAACTTACAGTTGCTGTTTGAATATTTTATGTTTATTTTAATTGTTTAACAACGTTTTCACAAGTAAAACATGGACCCAACTTTAGGGACACATTTCTTTTCTATGTTCCTAACTATGGCCCATGAAATTCATTTGACAGCATATAGCAATAAGAGTAACGTCAACAATGTTGTTTTGCATTTGGATGATAAGGAACGAACAGGAAGGGAGATTTTTTCTGCCAAACCTGTATAATGAACATCACAATGTTCTGATTTAGATATTCTGCGGTCAAAAGACGATAAGCGAAATTTTTAATTTTTAATTTTTAAATTGAGTGATTTAATGTAGTTTTCGTAAAATTTTCTCTAAGAAATGTTTTGAGGAATGAAGAGCATTAAGTTAACAGTGATAGTGATAAAAAAAAATACATCAGAAAACGTTACCAAGAGCGTTTTTTTGAGGATCAAACAAGATAGGACGAAGTTGCATCCATAAATAGACCCAATTTGGGGACAATAGACCCATATTACATACATTTCCCTCGTGAGTTATTGTCTTAAAAAAAGTAAGTTTTTCAACTTTTCGTGGTTTCTGATAGCAAACGACATGATAAGCATATCTAAGCATACCATTTAGCAGTAGAATATCGTTTGCAGGTAAATTCATTGATGAGTTATGATTAAAAACGTAATCGATGGCTGCATATTAGACCGAGGTTAGGGACGTATACCCATGGTTTTTTACGTCGATATTTTCGATTAAAAGTGATGTATTACCACCCCTCTCCTCGGCTAACGGATTTCGGATGACCCAATGAATCACTCACTCAGTATGTTTAATCATTTCTTTTTATTTTGCACCAGCTTTTTTTCAGTGAAACTGATCGTATTTACAGCGTTTATCTGCTCCTTGTTGTTTCTTTATCGATTTGTGCCTCCAATAATCTTCCTTCATTTTGCACTCCATTTTGCATAATTTCCAACATTTACCGTGAACAACATTCCATTAGTTTGCCTTACTTCATTCATCCCGAAATCTAGGATCATAATTCTTTGAGAAGCAGTGTCAGTTATGCAATTCTGGTTTTCACTCAAGTGCAATCTGGCTCGATTATTAAATAACACATTATGCAATTTGAAAACTGCTTTCATTCTTCAGCATCCTTTAAGGAGCTGAAAATTTCTGCATATCATGAATAACGATATAATAATGACAAAACAAATGTTTTTAAACGAAATATGTAAGTTGTACACAACTTTGTAGCAGTTGGCCTTTCTGCTTTGTCCTAGAGTAGGCTACGCACATTTTTTTTCAATTATTATTACAGCCTCTGTGCGTACAGTTATCTCAGGAACACTTTTAGGCTCATCATCTGTGTAGTAGAACGTAGAGATATGTTTTCAAAATGTAATCTTTCCCTTAAAACAATCTTCCTACCTTTTAAGTTTACTTTTCCTTATTATGTAGTTACATTAATTCGTTTCTTTTTGTTCGTTCTACAAGAAGAACTTAGCTTTGTATCGGTAATACTTCTCATACTCAATTTTGTTTATAAATTTGCCTATTGATTGCAATAGCTTATTCAATGTGTATCTTCTTGTTGGTGACAATATGTACAGTGCGAGAATCGAAATAAATTAACAACTTTATCACTTAAATGCTACGAGATAAACAATGGTTCGTTCTTATCTTTGATTTTAGGGAATTACATTACCAGTATTTGTAATATTTATTTCGACTAGACTATGTATACAAAGTTTTTTTTTATCTTTCCGTGTGTGTTTCTGCAGGCCTGATTTATAGTTTGTTTGAATGCTTCATGAACTGATGTTGTTGTGGAGTTTGGAGTACATATTTTCCCTAGTTATTTTGATGAAATTGGGTCCGATCTGTCAAGAGATCATTCTAGTTTTTAAATCTTCAAAATATTTCCAAATAATATTACTTTTGGTCCATTGATATACTTCGCAGTCTGACCTGAAGCATATAACAGTGAAACCTAAATTTTACATGAACACATTTAAATTTTTAAATTCGTATTTCAGTGCCAACATTTCAAAGGGGCGTAATTGTGTTTGTCAACAATGGCTAGAGCCGTCAATTTATCGCGAATAAAAGCTCACTCATGAAAAATAATAACACCATCAGGTAGAGGAATGTTTCGTCTACCAGCAAGCATTGTTATTTTGGAGAGGTAAGATTTCATTCGCGAGAAATCAACGGCTAAAGCCATTGTTTACAAAAGCAATTACGCCCTTTTGAAATGTTGGCACTGATTTCTTTGTTCGTTGAAATATGAATAAATCTCAGTTGACCTTTGCACTTTGACCACTTCGTTTTCAATGTGAAGTAACACTCGGCCTCGGCTTGCAAAAAAAAAATGCAAGCGAGTCTCAATGATTTTCTTTTCCCAAGGTCGAAAAATTTAAAAATTGACAGATACTCCTAAAACATAAATCATATTTTTGTAGAGACGAACCAGCCAACGACTGAAAGTCTCTATAATAAAGAAATCAATCAATCAATCATGTTTTTAAGAAGACCTGTTAGTCTTCATTCCTTTATTTAACGTCGGTCTCTGTTCCGCAATCTAGTGCCAGCCAATCAACGGCGGACATCGATTGCCATCCATTGACGGCAATCGAATGTGCAGGAAGGCAGCTTCCACACCTGCGTAAGATATTGCACCCATTCAAACACACATGAGCCGGTACCAACGGCTTTACTTCCCTTCCGAAGGAAGACGTGACCAGAGATTTTTATACCTCAGAAAAATCGCACCGACCTCGGCTGGGATTGAACCCAGACCCACCGGTGCCGGCACCTGATAGTCTACAGTAATAGTTTTAAAAGAATCCATCAATTTGAAAACTTCAAAAATGAATTTCGAAATGTGTTTTAGGTTTCAAAATTCACCGAATGTGGAAAATTTGAAATTTGTTTATAACAATTTAATAGAATTCACCCATCTTATGTTCTGCTTTATTTTCATTTTAGAGGAGGTAAAACAATACCTGACTCCAAATTCGACTGGGGAATTTTTTAAATAGCTAAGATTCTGATTCCGGTTCCAAATCACTAGGATTTTGATTTATAATTACTAGAAACATCTCTTGCGCTTACAGCTTTTACAGTGCCAGAGGATTCCACGAATGAAACAAACCTATCGACATCGTGTAGAAACTACTGTTCTGACGTGCAGGGATGGATCGCTCTTTTGGGACTTTTTCATTACTTTTTAGTATAGAATGCTTAAGTTACATTCAATTGAATTTTCAGTCAACCCATCTCCCTATCAAAATTCAAAATTCACACAACGTAGAGACACACTCTGTGTGTGTACTAACAAAGCACTCTCGAGTGAACCTTTAGTGTGGCTCTACGGTGCGAAAATTTTGCATTTTGATAGTGAGATAGCGTTAAACTATCGATTTTACGATGGGATAACTGAAAATTCAACTGGATTTTACTTTAGCATTACATAATAAAAAGTAATGAAAAAGCCCCAAAAGAGCGATCCATCACAGCCGACGTGGATCAATAGCTATACCAAAAAGGAACCATCAACATCACTTCAGAAACACGTCATTCAACTTGCACGGTATTGAACGAATGATAATAAACCATATCCCACTAGCAGTGGCCGCGACTAAATGGCCTCGCAGAATCAGGGTACTGGCCGTCATTGAGTGGCTGGAGTCTCGAAGGTTTCCGAATCGGGGCTCCCATAGCCGCTAGAGCCATCATCTCGGTGAGGGCCAAGATTGCTAGGATGATGCTGTTGCTGGGCAGGATTCTGGAGATGACTCCCACCAGCCGATTGCTGGGATTGCTGTGGCGATGGTTGGGGAGGCTGAGAATGGTGTTGCGTCGCGTGATTCGATGATACTGGTGGGTGCTGTTGATGTTGGGGTCCTTGCTGTTGCTGCTGCTGTTGCTGTTGCTGTTGTTGCTGCTGTGTTAGACCAAGTTTGTCTGCTACGTATGCAGATCGATTAACGGTTGGCGGCATACGTCCACTGCCGACATTACCGATGAGATTTTCTCCGGCTGGCTGTAAGGGAAAACAGAGAAACGAGAAGAGAGCTTTAGATTAATTAATTGTGAAAAATGTCCCCAGTGGACATGGGCGTGAAAGCACACGGTTCACAGGGAAAAGGTTGGACTGCAGGATTTCTGATGCGAGGGCGAGCAGCAAACGAAGCATCAAGCAGAAAAAAGTTAAATATCTCTTTTTCGCAAAAAATTAATTAACTTTAGCTAATTAAACATCGCAGAGTAGGAAAGTTTTTGTTTTTTAATTTTCAACTCCTTTCGCTCTCAATGCAGCATGATGTCAGCCCGAGAGCCTTTCTTTTGGCGAGTGCTTCTTGTTTTTTTGTGTGCTCCTTCGAGTGCACCCCACTTGGTTTCATCTTGGGAAGGTCCACTCACTGTGTTGCCTTTATTTCTACATGATATGATGGAAAGCTGCATTGTACGTTTTGTTGCAGATTTCATCAGCTCGTCCAGAAAAGATGAATAATGAAAATTAGTTCTTCCAATTATACCCAAATCCTCCGAAAAGTATGAGGAAGCGACGAAGTTGGGAGTGAAATAGAAGCGTGAAAATCATATGTACGTAAAATTCTCTGTTGGTGTTTTATTATTTCGCTCATTCGCTCTCGCGATATGCGCGTACATGCCTCTCTTTCTCTCTAATTATAATTTTTTAATTATCTGGAAAAGATTAAAGATGCGGAGGCAAAGTTATTATCCTTTTTATAATTAATTTTCTTTTGTCCCAGGCTTGATATTTTCCTTGACTTGTAGTGACTGTGTTGCCTCGCGGAAGCCAGTTGACGGACTGTGCGTTGTTTTGCCAAGCAGAGGAAAAAAAGGTCTAATTAAATTCAACGGTATGCTGCGACTCTGCTGGTTCGTAGATTTCTTTCCTGGTCATTTATCATCCACGCATGTTTGTAGAGAGCCTGTGAAGCAAAGTTTATCGCTTTCTAAGCCTCCCAGACGTTGTCTCGAAATTAATACTATTTATATTCTTTTTAAGATTATTATTAATTTACGTATCGATTATGTAGGGTGCGGCACCATTTCAGTATACCCACTTCTCTTTGGCACCCTTCCCTTAAATCCGTCTTAACCGTACAGACCCGTACAATTTATTTTACAGCATTGGTTATTTAACTCGAGAGTAAAGAATTTGATGCATAAATGTTGGATGTAGCTGTTCGTCTTCATTGTTTTGTCGCGCATGACGGAAATGAGTCCATCCATTTCAAACAAAATTTCAGTAAAAAACAAAAAAGTTGAAGATTAGCGTTACGGGAAAACTTTCGCGTTTATATAGGGTAGAGAACTGCTTCGGCGCTCATTTCTGTCATATCGAGCAGAAACATCAAATATATCATACGTTTGGTAAGCTAATTTAGTTCAGAAGCTACCAAACAAGGTCTATAAGAACGCATACCTAGTATGAATGGTTACATCCTGGGTACTGGAGACTCAATTGATTTTATTGTGCAAGCACATTTTCTCAAGAAGCAAATTGTTTTGCTCTTCTTCAGTTGAATCCCGCCACACTGCTTTCGTCGTTGAGCTTTTTTCTTTTTGCCTTTGAGCTTACAATCAATAATGAGTTATGAAACAAGTACGATTAATTTTTATGAGATGACAATACTTGACGATAGATAAGAAGAGTGACTATAATGCTGTCCAGACTGGAGAGTTATAACATGTTATAACGGTTGTCAAATAATTGCAACACAGAAACCACCATAAAGATAGCGCTTTAACATGTTATAACTCTGTAGTCTGAACGTACTATATATCTGTGGCTTCTGAATGTTTGGTTCCCGTTTGTCAGATCACACTGGTACCCAACCTGGTTTATACAAGGTGTGGAGATCTAGCCCTGACGTATGTGTTGGTAGAGGGAAAAATGTCATAACACTCTAAAGCAAATTTGTGAAATAAGAAGTAAACCAAATCCTAGATATTTTTACATGATGATTTTACTTGATTATATTATTTTGTAAAGTCGCCGGGAAATATCAGCTGGCGATTTGTTTTTTTTTTTATCATAACTCCTTACTTGAAAACAGGCAAAAACTCACAAACAGGCTGCTTTTTCATGGTATACAGTGTGATAATTCAATAATCAATATATTATCTCAACATTTAGTGATACAACATTCATAAATTTTGGTAACATACATAAATTCTATAATCCATATTAAATTTCCCATGCAAGCGCCGATCGAAACAAACGTTATGACGTCACTACAAGCAAAGATGAATACTAAGATGAAACTGTCGGAAGAAAAACTTTCAATTTTAGTGTACTCTTTCACGGTCCCTTTCATCCAATGAATACCCCCCGTATTCAAAGTAATTTGGTGGTTTTGCTGCTCCCTCAGTAGAGATGAAATTTTGCGCTCATTTTTATCAAAACAAACACACCAAAACTAGAGATGTCCCATTTTTTAATTACTCGATTAACAACTAACCGATTTTTTTTTGTTCGCTGTGCTGCCATTTTCCACCGATGAGAGTGCAGCACATGTTTGAAACGATCGGTTGTTAATGCTTATATCGGCACGATATAACCGATTACAAATATTTTACTTTTCGGTTCGTTAATCGATTAATCAATTATTCGAATGAAAATCGGCCATCACTAGATGAATGTGAAACGTTATTTCAAATACAAGGACCGTACATAAATAATGATACAATTTGAAAGGACCGGGCTAATCACAAATTACGTCCCCACGGTAACTGAAATAAACACGAGTGTTCACCGGTTGCTACAAGGGTAATTGAGTGAACGAAAAACGAATCGTGCGAAGCGGAATGAAAGCCGAGTGAAAAACGAAGCGCACCGATACATTCAGGCCTACACACTTAGAAATTATCGCAGACTTCGGTAATTTTTACCGAAATCTGAACAGCTGAACTGTTTGGTAAAATTTATGCAATTCAATTCAATTGCTTTTCAGCTACTTTGAAACTAAATCTCCACTAAAATGACAAGATTAGATCTTTTAAACAAGGTTTAACATGTTTTGAAATTATTTTCAAATTCAATAGCCTTTAAAATGAAGGTCAAAGTTTTACCGAACGTTCAGCTGTTCTGATTTCGGTAAAATTTACCGAAAACGGAAACAAAATCTTAGTGTGTACAATTCCACACCTTGTATAGACCAGGTTGACTGGTACCCAGTTGACTAGCATATTGAGTGAGTCCGGTGCGATTTCAATCATATATGGTCTGGAAAAACAGGCAGATTGCTGGTGTTAGAAACAGAAATGTTGTAAACATTGCTGAACAAGCGAATGACGATGTCACATCAGCACAACATTCCATTCTGCAAACAGCAGGCGTGACGTCACAGAAAACAGGTGTTTCGTGTTAAAATATAAACATTACGATGAAATACGAACACAACTAAACATTTCCACTTTTCACTAATACAAATAAGCCAGTTGGGCCAAACCGTGCATGATTGACATCGAGTCCGCAGTACCCAGGTTACATTCGATTCTTCAAAAGAAGTGCTACTAGCGAATTCTTTTTTACTGCAGTCATCCGTATCGCGAAGTGAATCCAATGACGTTTCAATGTGTTAGGACGGAATTGCAACTCGTATGACGGAATTGGAATCAAGAAGCAGTGTTAGATTTTTAACAATATGCCAACAATTTGTGACTCTTTATCAATGCTAACGGTAATAATGGAAAGGTATATGCGGTATAATAATATAAATATTTCACGAGCCTTGAGAAAACATATATTTAAGAGCTTAATGAATGCCAAAAAACATGGTTGCTGGCATCGGTTTGACAAAGGTTTTCGCGAGAGACTTTTATGAAAACGCTCTGCAGTTTCGGTAGAATAATGCAAAACGCGTCATCGCTGGTCATCGAAGACAGTATTCAAATAGGAAGTTGGATTTTGTTTTCGCACGTAAAGTTTGTCCTGATTCAGTGCCGGTTCAAACCCATGATCCTCCATCGGGTAGGAACGACATGGACTCCCTTTTTTCTTCTCACTTGCTCTCCTTTCATGTAACAATTAATATCTGGGAATGGATAAAATCAAGTTCAACTTGCTCAACAACCTCCCAGACGTCGCTAAAAGGCGCTTGTTGAACTTGCAGGAGAGTTTTTGGCATTCAAAAACCCGGTAAACCCGCGTCCGATTATAATTCGTACCGTCCCATTGCGATGCTGTCCTGAATGTCGATGTTTTCGTGAAAATGATTCTTTTTCTCATGGACAAGTGAGTCGAGCCGAATGGTTTATTCTCAGATACGCCAGTTGGATTTTAAAAAGGCAAAGGAACACACGAAGACCTTGCGTTAATTTTTACTGAAATATCACTGGCCAATGTTCAAAAACCAGCAAATGGGTTTAATTTCCTTTGTATCAACGTCACTAACATAAACTTCACTAAAGTGGGTTTTCACTTATTTAAGAAAGCCTTGTAACTAAAGAAAAAAAAACCATCTCAATACTATCACTGGTACTTGGGGGGAGCCCATCCGGATGAGTTGATTAGGTTATACCGACCTTTCGGTATTAGCATACGGTACCTTTTGCTTCCCTTAACAGATCGTTTCATCGTTCGCAGGAAATATTTAGCTAAGCCATGAACCCGCATGCAAAAGTTATGAATTAGTTTGTGTCTGATCTATTCTGGACAAATTATTTTTATCTAGATCAAAAAATCCTATGGTTTTGACAGTTCGGATCACTGCACATTTAAATCGGCCGTTTACGATTTTCGGGCATAAGTCAGAATTAAGTGTGATGTCGGTTTGTCGGTGGTTTCACTACACTTTCTTTTCGGTTTCTCATCCGTTTCAAAGCTAGGAACCCATTGGTGAACTTAGAGAAGTTGCTCGACCGAAATCCTCAAACACGAAGTCTGTACTACACTACGAGTACTGATTGTGCCGTCTTCGTTCAATTCCAATCGTGCTTGCTTCGATGACTTCTCAGTACCTTTTGATCTGACCATGAAGCAGTAAATCCATGGAATACTAGATGTCC